ACATTACCAGGAAAGCTACAGCTAGGAGAGCTGGAGCTGCCACTTACTAAAAGTAAGAACAGCAAACATGGTGGTTTTAAAAATTATGTTTAGAGCAAGAAGAGTAAGAATGGGTAGCACCCAGTGCCACTGCTTAGGACTGATGGCGCAGACCAGTGGTCGGTAAACTTTTTCCATAAAGGGCCAAACAGTAAATATTTTAGGTTTTGTGGACATATAATCTCTGTCACAACCACTCAACTCTGATGGTGCGGTGTGAAAGCAGCTATAGACAATTTGTAAAGGAGTGAACATGGCTGTGTTCTAATAAAACTTTATTCATAGATACTGAAATTTGAATTTCATATGATTTTTTAAGTGCCAGGAAATATTATTCTTTTGATTTTTTTCAACCATTTAAAAATATAAAAGCCTTTCCTATCTGGAGGGCCACACAAACGCAGGCAGTGGGCTGGGCATTGCTGCAGGCTGTGGATGGCCAACCCTAACACAGATGGAAAACAGGGAGTGAGCCAAACCAGGCAGCCATCATTTTATTTCTACCTCCTCCATCAAGGAAAACCATCTTCAAGCCCTAAAAAGTAGAATACGGTGATGAGGAATTGGAAGAACAAGAAAGGTGAAGAGATAGTCCGAGCTACCAGGAGCTTTCGTGCTCGTTCCAAGTCTGTAGGAGGAATAATGATTAAAGATGATGTTGGAATCACAGTCAGTGATCTCTGACGAACTTTAGTAAACTGAAGGTTCCAGGGGACTGGACAACAGAAAATAATCATATCCTCAAAAAAGGATAATAAGAAAATTATTGATCTGTCACTAGGAAGCGACTTTCAATAAAATGTGAAAGCATATTATGAGGCAGGTGGTTTGTAAGCGCTCAGAAAAAGACAGGGTGATCACTTGAGGCCAGCAGGGTTTACCAAGAACATGCCAAATAAACACCCTGTCTGTATTTTTTCTTACTGCAAGGTAACACATGCTATTACAGAAAAATGAGCAAGTACAGATAAGCAAAAAGAAGAGAAAGAAACTCCATTGAAAAACATTGTAAACACCTTGGCGTGTACCCTTTCAGACCTTTAAGCCAAAAACCAAACGTGTTGCCACTGAGTCAATTTGAACTCACAGTGACCCCATGTGTTACAGAGTAGAACTGTTCCATAGAATTTTCTTGGCTGTAATCTTTATGGAAGCAGATTGCCAGGCTTTTCTTTCACAGTGCTGCTGGAAGGGTTCACACTGCTAACCTTTAGGTTACTAGTCAAGTGCAAACCATCTATACCACACAGGAACCTTCTCCAGACCCTTAGGTATATATTTTTTAAATGTGATCACATTGTAAATTCTGATTTGTCACCTGCTTTTTTCACTTTATATTCACGTACATCTTTTTATATGAACTATTGTTTTTTTGATGGCTGAAAAGTAAAGGCCACTGTATGGATGTTTCATAATTTAACTACTTGCTTTTTTTTTTTTTTTTGTATATTTAAGATATTCCTCCCCACAATCCCTTTTTTGCTATTTAAGAAAAGCAGCAGTGCTCATCCTTGTGGATAAATCTTTTTTGCACATCTGTAATTCTTTTCTAGAAGAAATTCCTAAAGAAGACATGTGAGGGTCAAAGGTTTGTTTCATGGTCATTTTGATTAGGGTACTAGATGTCCAAACAAAGTACAGAAGCTTCTCAGGACGTCAGCAATGAGCCAGTAAAAGTTCCTTGTCCCACTTCTGTGGGCAAGACATAAATACTGGCTGGACAATGTAGAACCATTAGCAAATTCTGGCTGACAGAATACATAGTACCCCCAAATTTCTGGGTGGGTATGAACATACAGGAAGACAGGGCCCAAATCAACGAGGTTAAGATCTTGCAGAGATAGAACAGGCTGCTCAGAGGTGGTGGCCTCAGACACTAGAAGTGTTCAAGCAGTAGATAAGGATGATCACCTGCCCCAGAGGTTGTAGAGGGCATTCCTGCTCAAAGCAGACACGGGACTACATGCTCTCCTCCCCCTCTCCCTACTTCCCTCTCTCCCTTCCTCCCTTTCTTCCACATTTCCTGAGCACCTCGGTGTACTAGGGGCAGAGCTACATATCAACTCTGCTGGTTTCTCCAGCAACTCTAAGCAGTGTCTCTCCTTTTGTAGGTATGGTGGGGATGAGCTGAGCTGTCTTAGTGGAAGGTGTAGGAACAGTAATATCGTAACAGGTATGCTCTTAAGAAAATATTTTAAATATTACTTTAATACACATACATACAAATCAAATGTAGGCTGCTTTTCAAATCTCTAATTACATTGTTTTGAAATCTACTTATCTTAGGAAGGGACTGTGAGCTAAGGGAACAGTCATCAAATGTTTTCAGGAATGACATGGGCATACCAGGTGTCATGGTTTGAATTATGTCCCCCAAAAAATGTGTGTATCAGTTTGGCTGGGCCATGATTCCTGGCATTGTGTGATTTTTCTGTATGTTGTAAATCCTGCCTCTATGATGTTAATGAGGGAGGACGGGTGGCAGTTGTGTTAGTAAGGCAGGACTGGATCTACAAGACTGGATTGTGTCCTGAGGCAATCTCTTGAGATATAAAAGACAGAAGTGAGCAGAGAGACATCAGGACCTCATACCATAAAGAAAGCAGTGCTGGGAGCAGAGCGCGTCCTTTGGACGGGGTCCCTGCGCCGAGAAGCTCCTAGTCCGGGGGAACATCGATGAGAAGGCCAAGAGAGAGAAAGCCTTCCCCTGAAGCTGACACCCTGAATTTGGACTTTCAGCCTACCTTACTGTGAAGAAATAAACTTCTCTTCATTAAAACCATCCACTTGTGGTATTTCTGTTATGGCAGTACTAGATGACTAAGACCCCAGGCATTTGCACCAAAGTCTTAGCTCCTGAATTCTGCAGTGAACATGTGCCAGAGCCAGTGTGGAAGGAGAACAGTTTCATGATTCATTTCATTCCTAGCAGAACTCTAGCTATCACGGCATTGGGCACTGGGCAAGGGCTAGGGCCTGGGGCACACCTTGCCTTAACTGTTTTTGGAGCAAACCATCGAAAACCCTAACTTGGCAGTACAAAACCGAGATGTGCCACGCAGTGCCAAACACTGTTCACAGGGTGGGTGGGGGGTGGGGGGTGGCCTCTGCTCCGTTCTAGCCAGAATGACTCACAGGCAGGCTGCTGGTGGGTGGGTGGGCAGGCTTCCCAGTTGTGCCATAGTTGCCCAGTGCTGAGCTTGCAGGCCTGATAGAGCCAGTGAGTCCTGCAGGGTATGTCTGGCAGCATCACAACAAAACATCCTGGACCCTTGCAGAGCAATTTGGTGCCTGCAGCAGTGAGGAGGCCTGAGCTGCCTGCTGCCGGGGGCTGAGCCTCAACTACTTCTGTTTGGAAGATAAAATCCAATTCACTGCCACTTACATAAATGTAACAGGAAGTTTCTGAATGGCTTCCCCTGTGTCTTGAGGCTGTTACCTTGGTATTGCTAAACTAACAGCTGAAATGAACCTAGACAACACCTCATCAAAGCCAAGAGCGAGGCAGCAGTGGTCCAGAGGCAGACAGGAACATTCCTGCCAAACCAGAGGCGATTTCACTCTGCACGCCTTTTTCTGCAGAAACATTCAACAGCTGGGAAAGCCATCAGAGAACAGAGGTAAAGTGGGTGTAGCCCAGCACCATGGCTGGAAAAAGATTTGCAAGCTGGAGAAAGAAGTCATCTATTTTGATTGTGCTTTCCTTATGTGCATTCTGAGCGGGGTTTCCCTGCTGGATTTCAAAGGCCTGTTTTGCACCACTCTGCCACTAAGTATCTGGGGAAATATTCAGCTTTTCTACAAAATAGGTCATCTTTCCACGTTTGTTATGCTCCTTGTCGACTCTGCTGAAATAGCCACAGCACAAAAGAAATTCTCCCTGGAGATGCTTTTCTTAGACAAACATGTTCCTTCTACCGTTCGAGAGCCTGGCTCCTGGAGTGGAGCCAGGGATGAGGGTCTAAGACCATCCCTGTTCCTCCCCTTCCCCAGCAGGAATGCTGCCCAGAAATGGAGCCACTGGCTTTTGCTTATACTTCCAAACCTATTAGGGAGTGATCATAACAAGTAAAACGAATACTGACACAAATTATGCCATTGTTCTATTTCATCTATTTAGTAACCTGAAGTTGCAAGTTTTAGAAAAAAAGATTACCTTTTAAATAACTGATTCATTATGGTACATGAATGAATGCCATGTTCCCATGTTCAAAGTGTCACTCACCATTAAGGGTGTGCGCTCGCAAGTGGCAAAGATTTGCCACCTCCCCCTTATATACAAGCACCCCTGACTGGCAGCCCAGTATAATCGAAGGCGAGTTTGCGGGTTTCCTTAGCTCTTAGCAAGTCACCTGCACTGCCAAGCGCATAATGAATCTCAATTCTGTAATAAGGCTTGTAAGTTTTCCCCTCCCTAGGTGAAGGTAAAAACAAAACCAGGACTGATGAAGTTCCTGCCACAGTAACACTATCAATTTCAAGGCCGAATTCAGAAATCACAGATTCATACTATGAGGGCATGAGAGGGAGACTGCCAGTGTACCCTCTGGCCACAAACCTTGCTTTGAGAAATGAGAGGTGAGGACAGACCTGGATACAAGAGGGCTGGGAGACCAGCGCTCAGCTCTGTGCTGCTCCCGGGCCCCCGTGGGAAACCTGCCCAGAATCTGACAGGTGAACAATGTGGTGACTATTCTCTGGAAGTGTCACTTTAAGTCTGTGAAATGCACACATTGTTTTTCATCATTAGTTTTAAAGCATGCTGAGTGTTTGGCCCTTCTCTAAGTGCTGTGGTGACGCAAAGGAAAGGGAAGGCCTGGTCTTTGCAAGAACAGGTCCCTTGCAGGGAAAAAAGTAAGATAAGACAGACAGATGCCATGAGAAGACAGGGAGCATCTAGAAGGAGGAGATGCCCAGGACACACATGAGGTTGCTGGCCATCAGCAGTGGCTCCCACATACCTGATATGGCATACAAATTGGAGTGCTGGTACTCATAGTCAGTCCGAGTGCTGTTCCTGCCTCGGAAGGTAGCAGGCAGTGTTAGAGAGATGTGCCTGAGAAAGAGACAGAGGAGAAAGGGAGGTTATAGGGTGCATGGAGCATTCCCCTACACTGAGAAGGCACCCGACGTCATCAACAGCTGGATGGTAGCAAAGAGCAGGAAGAGTGGGTGCTCCTGGCAAGCCATCACCTTCTCAAGTATGATCTCTTCACCAGCCTCCAGTCCTCTCAAGGAACTCAGGAGTTTCCATACCTCAGGAGCTACCTTTCTCCATACTAGGAAGGATATCCGAGAGGAAGAAAGGGTTCCCTAAACCTTATGGCATGTCTGAGGCGCTTCAAGAAGGGGAGCAGTTTTATCTTACTTCTCTGCCTGCTGGACAGAATACACTAACAGGACCAACACACCCAGGCTCGAGCATCAGCCTCCATTTGTTCTGTCACCTTGGTTTTGTTATTCATCATATGGTTTCCATACCTACCCTGTAGGGCAGCTGAGGACTGCCAGCACATGAAGCACTTTGTAGAATGAAGGTGTTGGGTATTATTATTATTACCACGTGAGTCCAGGAAACTAACAACCACTGAAAATCAGGAGGCACGGTCCTCTGAATGCCTATGACTGTGCGTTCCCCTTCATCCTGGAGCACACAGAAAGTGCTCAAGAAAGCACCTTCATTGATCCACCGCTGCCTTTTATGGCACAGGCACTGGCCATAAGGCTTACAGTGAAAACACAGCATCACTAAGTATTTAATCCAAAGTAAATAATCCATTTGGCATGGTCATCAGCTGCTGAAAAGTATGATTATGATAAGAGGAAAAATATTTAAAATCTAACATGCCTGGAGGAAAAAAAACTACCTCATGCTGGTGTAACTAGGGGCTGGTTTGAAAAGGTGACTAAGCTTCGGTCACCTTTTGGCCGTTCCAAAACGGAAAGGGGTGGGGAGGAGAAGGACTTACTACATAAAGAAAGCTTTCACTGACAAGTTTCCTTTTTCACACAACAAATGTGTGACCTTCTGGAACGATTCTTGTGTGTCTGGACTCCTGGGAGGAAAGGTTCTCTAGGCAGTGGCTGTTCCCACAGAGCCAGGATTGAGCTGCAAGCAGCAGGAGCCTCCCAGGGACAAGATGAACACCGAGGGCTGTAAAGGCATTTGGTTTGCCGGGAGGCAGAATGTGCTTTAATGGCGAACACCTGTGTCACCAACAGCCAGGCTGAATCAATCAGTGGGGCTTTCCTGAGCACCGACTGTGTGCTGAGGGCTGGGGGGACAGGGACACAGCAGACACATGCACACCGAGGTGTGTGTCCATTTGGTACACTGTGTGTTCATTCCGGATGCTGTGAGCTCCTTCTAAGAGCTCTCAGAGAACAAAGGTGCAGGAACAAATCCCTGTGCAATAGGACATGTGCTGGGAGAAAACTAAAAACCGGGAGAGCATGAAAGGAGGAATAACATGTTCTGTTAAAGGGGAGGGGGCTTCTTGTGACACTTTCTCAGCAGAGGACGCAAGTGTTAAAGGAGTAAAAGGCACTCACCAGGTAGTCAGGGAAAGCCAACACTTGGTGTACGGCTGGGTACACACAGAGCCAGATGGGAAAGGACGCTGAATGCCACCCTGAGAGGTTTGGGTTGAAGGTTGAACCCTAGGACAAAGGTTTCCAAACTCTGTTCTGCAGACTACGGCATAGGTGAAGGCATTAGAGTCACCTAGGGACTTGCTAACCATATAAACTCACAGACCCCCACCTGGCGAGTCCGGCTTAGAGGGCCTGGAGTGCAGCCCAGAACCCAGCAGTGATTCTAAAGAACGGCCAAGTTCAGGAACCACTGGGAGGGTGAGGAGCAGCTGCAGAAGGGGTTTAAGCAGTTGATCAATGCCTCGGACCACAGCACTTAGTCAATGAAGCTGAGCAAACAGAAGAATGAATTATTGACTGTGGTTGTGGTTGAGCAGAACTAAAATGATGACAGGTGACTGTGCAGAGAGCACTCGCCATGCGCCAGGCCCTGGGGCAGGCATCTCACGCGTTCTCTCTGCTCCTCACAACATCCCTGTGAGGTAGGTTCACGGACAACTACATGATTTGGGGGGCCCAGTGCAAAATGAGAAGCCCTTGTTCAAAAGTTATTAAGAATTTCAAGGCAGCAACAGCAGTGCCAACCCCTTTACAGCATGGGGCTCTTCTGAATATGAGGCCCTGTGAGACTGCACAGGTTGCTCATCCATGAAACTGGCCCTGGGAGGGTACTACTATTGCACTCACTGTACTGACAAGGGATTTTTCTGGGTGCCAGGGTGCCAAATGCTTAAGATTCCTAAGCCTTAAAAGCTCTAAAAAAAGGCACATCCAACTAAGGACAGTCTGTGTGGGTGGCAGCTACTATGTGGGCTGCAGGGTTGGGAGGCAAGCAGAAAGGCTCACGGAGGAGGTGGGGCAATAGCAGACGTTCAGGAGACAGGTCTTCTGCAAACCTGGAGTGATAGTAAAGGGGCCAACCAGGAGCCAGAGGAGGTCAAATGGACAGTGGTCAAATGGAGCAGCTCCTGGCCCACATCTGCACAGACCCCTGTGGGGACCCTACAGTGGAAGAGGGCATGTAGGCCCTGCCTCACAGAGCTCACACTCTAGCAGGGGGCACATGAAGACGTCCACAAAGTTACACAAACCCTTGTTGACAAATGTGGGAATGTAGAGAAAGCAGGAGGGCTGAGTGCTCTGAGGGGTGGGGGAGGGAGGGGCTCTCCGGAAGGCTTCCCTGAGGAAGTGACACTGAGGAAGAGACAGAGGATGGGCAGGAGTCAGTAACGTGCGGTGGGGAGGAGGAAGGCACATTCAAGGCTCCCTGGGAAGCCTCCTAAGCAGCAGGAAGCCTGGCCAGCAGGAAGACCTAGAGGGAGGCCAGGGTGGCAGAGCCTAGAAAGCCAGGGAGAGAGTGTGGACACGGGCTGGATGTGGGGGCCAGTCCACACAGGGACCAGCATGAGTTCTGACTCTGTCCTGAAAGATTTTCCTGCTTGAGGAAAAGTGAGGAAATAAAACTGAGTCGCTATGATGGGTGGGAACGACAGCAGCAAATTATAATGAAGATTATCGTGAACCTGCAAATAGTTATTGGGCTATGAGTTATCGACTCGACGGCAACGGGTTTGGGTTTGTTTTTTTTTTTTTTGGTACTGTGTGCAGGCCCTTAACAATTTCTGTCCAAACGACCTACCCCACAGAAAAGATACAGGCCTTCTGTTTCAGGAAAACACTATGGCATACAAGGTTTATAAAGAAGTATATGAGTAATAGAGAAATCAAGGTGCTTGGCCTCTTAGCTGCTCCATCCAACATGGACTTGCTAGTTCTGAACTTTCTTGCCTCTCCAGGACACAGGATTCTGCCTGGCTGACCACACCCTGTGACTCTCCCTCCTTTGGCCTGGTCCTCTTCCTTCCTCTCAGATAGTTCTTTCTGGTTCCTACTCCTCTGATCTTTTAAAGGGTGCCGTTTGCAAGGGTTCTGGTTTAGCTCTCTTCTTGCTCCACACACTTTCCCTGAGAAATCTAATCCATGTCCATATCCCCAGTTTTAGTCACCCCCACACATCAGTTTACCTCTCCAGCCTCGTCTCGTCATTGCCTCATGAAAGTCTTGTAAATCTCTGAATATCCCATGGTTTTTCATGCCTCGGCCTGAATCTTTACCCATGTTGATCTCTGTTCCTAGAATCTCCATTTCTCCCTTACCTACTCCCCAAATTCCTGTTCATCCTTCAAGAGGCCCACTCAGGCATCTCCTGTCTGGGGAAACCTTTCCTAGGCTTCTGCCAGGCTGAACTGGGTGCCTGCATATCCTGTCTTACTCCAGTTACCACAATATATTTTATTCGAGCCTGTCTCCCTAACATGGCTATGTCTTCCTTGAGAGCAGGACCAAATCTCGTTAATTTTGTACCCCATCTTCTAGAATAGTTCCAAAGAGTAGACAATTATTGAACATTTGCTGACCAAATCAAGTACTGAACTTAGTCCACTAAAACCCCTGTGTCTTTTTTAACATGAACTGCTGTTAGCCTCTGTTCTTTCATTTCTATACGTGTGTGTTTTCCCAATTAGACTCAAGGAATTTCTGTATTATAACACGCATCTCACTCCTCTCTGCTATGGAGGAAAACAGGTATGATGTAAGAAGAAATCATTTGTAGCAGTAACCAGCAATTTTCAAGGGGAAAAAAAAAAAAAAAGAGCGCCAGGAATAAAGTTTCTGATAGCACACAAAGACAATATGTAGTTCATGCAGTAAATGTGAAATTAAAAAAGAATTTAAGTTACACAGTAACTGCTCAATAGGAATCTGCTGAATTGAAATTAAGTTACCCCAAACTCCAACTACGGTAGCTGATGCAAGAATGGGTGCGGGGCAGAGTTCAAAGAGCAGAAAATGGGAAATCCCCTGCCCCCCCCCCCACTAGAGAAAGCTTTTTTTTAGGGAAGGAGGATTCCCTATGCTGTAAGTAGCTTCTTTGCATTTTTGTTTCTGCTATTCCTGGACAAAGCAAGCAGGGGATGTGGGGACAGAAAGACAAAAGGCACATCACAGCTTTCTGTTAATGAGAATGTACAGTTTGGGCCAAAGGGACACATCACCTGTGGTGAGAGTGAATAAAGAAGTCACCTGCTGAAGGAGAAGTGGCCCAGGGGTGCTCTGGTGTCAGATTAGCCTAAAAGTGACAGTCAGACAAGCAATGGCTCTGGAACCAGCTGAGTCTCAGAGCGAATGATATTCTAGCTCCACAGCACTTGGTGGAGGCCCACATGCCAGACACTGGACTGGGTTCGCTCATATACATCACCTTGCCTAATCCACTCAGCAACCCTTTTAGATGGGAATAATTGTTCCCATTTAAGAGAACAGGAAACATGCTCTCAGAGGGAAAGCTGATAAAGAGAAAGCTGAAAATTAATGAAAAGGTTAGTCCACATGTACACTGGAGGTTATTATTATTTTAAAGTTACCCTGATACATCATTTTGACTATCAGGTAAGTGAGAAT